GATTAATTCTAGGTAAAGCTGATGAAGTGTAAAAACCAATTAGAAACTCAATCAAAATGCAGCTCAAATCTCAAGCTGCTCATTTGTCAGAAGATAGGTCAGTTGTAAATCATAGCTGCACCTCGGTGGTTTTCAATGTAGTGCACTTTAGTCTTTATTGACCCATTTGGATCTGTTAGCTCTGCAGAACGAGGTTTACACTTTGAAGTTTAAGGTATTCTGACCCAAAGGTCAAAGGTCCCTTTGAATCCATCATTAGGCTAATGAAGACTTTGATGACTTTTAGATGGTTTAAAGAGTGTGTACTTTTTCTTCCAGAAAGCAGTTGTCTAGTAAAAATGGAATTCACAGGTTTTGTTCATTTCATGAGTGTTTTGGACCAGGTGGTGCAGCACATGGGTGGAGCATTTGTTTAATATGGGCTAGTTTATTAAAAATAAATACGACTTTAACAAATGCATTATTTCTTTCAGTTATGTGCATACAACATGTTTTTAAAAATCCAATACAGTAGTCCCTCGCTACTTAGCGGTTCGACTTTCACAGATTTGCTCGCTCTTTTGTGGTTTTTCAAAGTAAGAGTGGACATGACACACAAGTGGCTGATTGGTGGATGAGCCACACGAGCGGCATGGATTGTTTATTTAAAACAAATAATTTAAAATGATTTAGCACCTGCTGCACTTGTGTGCAGCCCACGGGAGAAGCTCCCTCTGCAGCCTGTCATGATCTCCGCACTCTGCCACCTGCGGCTCTCTGCCACGCCCACATTTCTCCTCTGGCTGAAGCAGCTTTGTGAAGGATTAACCCTTTGCTGTCCAGCTGCACCAATCAGCTTTTGTCTTCCAACTTAAAATTCAAAGTATGCCACATCATAAAATTGTCATAATCAAAAAATACAAAAGTGTTAAAAGTTATTTTTTTATTATTTTAGAACCTCTATGTTCAGTTGTTACAGTGTAATTGATCAAGTACATTTCTGCTCCGTGCTGCATCTACTGCGTGAAGGGTTAATCTGTTGCTGTCCTGTTGCGCTTCTCTTCTCCACAATTTAAATTTAAATACTGCTAAATCTAAAATGTTTATTTACACATAAGTTGGGAGACTGGGAATGAAACTTGAACTTGGACTACTATATCCATACTTCACGGTTTTTCACTTATCGCAGGGGGCATGGTCCCCCAAACTCAGTGATAAACGAGGGAGTACTGTATGTCTCTCTATGCATCAGGTGATTATTGTCTGCTGTCAAAAGGAAACAGATGCATTTCCCTGTTGGTAGTGTTAGCAAAACATCTCATGAACCTCTGGCACAGAAGGTGGCAGGATTATGCATTTCTTCAAGAAATGCTAGGCCTTTAAGTAGTAATTGGACCTCATATTAGAAGAGCTGCAGCACAGTTTGATCCGAGACCAAAGGGAGGCATTTTGAGCTGTTCAGCATCCCCTCATGACTTTTTAACACATTCCATTCTGCTCCTTTCATAATTCACAGTCTCCCCATAAGAAGGTGTCTTTAAATAAAGAGTGGTTCAGGGACGGCTGGCGTTTGACTCCATCTGCTGGTCAGCCACTCAGCTTTCATGTTCATATGCGTTTAAAGCGGCTCCAAGAAGTGAAAGAAATCAAAAGTAATGTGCTGAACAGATATGTAAATGAGAGCCCACTTCAAAGGAGAGCGTCTGCAGCTGGCGGAATAAAAATCAAACATAATGTCCAGCTCAGGCGGGAACCAGCAAAGACTTCCCCTCCTTCACACTGGGCTGTCTGGGTTTCCTCAGGTGACACTGCTGGAATCTCACAGCAGACATCAGAGGAAAGCCAGCAGTGCTCTTCACCTCTGCTCAGCTTAAGCCGCCAAGGCTGCATCAAAAACACAAAACCGCCACATGGAACCAAAGTGGAACACAGCTCAGAAAACCCATCAGAGCGAAGAGCAGGTTGTTTGTAGTTTAGGGGGAGGTGTGTCTGTAATGCTGTTTGAGGGACACCAGCGGGAGGTAAACCACCGTGTTAATCGTATCGGCTGATTTATTGATCTGAAACCGGAGCTAATTATTATTTTACAAAAGGAAATCTACTGCAGACAGACAGCTTCAATACTTTGAACATTAGCAGTCAGTTCAACTTCAGCTCACTCCTGCAAAGTTCACTGACAAAATCAAAGCGTTCTTTGAAATAACGTCAATGGCTCTCCGCCTTTCATGTCACAGTTTTATGCTCAGATCATCTGATGTTGAGAAATGACAAAGTTTTAAACGCAGATCTTCTGTTAGCAGAAGATCTTCAGTCTCAGCTACTAACGCTTCAAATTTTGGTTTACAACCTTGGCATCTTATTCTGCAGGAGGTCAGCCCACAACTGTTGCAAGATCCAGAAGATCTTGAGGTCTGGGTATTGAGTCGAGGTTGCTATCAGAACTGATCGCACACATGTTGGATTGGGGAAAGGAACCTGGCTGGAAACAGGAGGACTAAATCATGGCAGGCAGTCCAAAGACGCACATACTTAAATTGGTGCAGCCTTGTTGAAAACTGTAGAGGGGTTCTGCCTCAGGAGTGGAAGAACATGCAGAAACATGATTTTACTGGTGTATATGTCCCAGGAATCCAGAGGTGACATCAAGTCAGACCCTGTGGCCCCACCATAATTCAATTCAGTTTATTTATATAGCACCAAGTCACAGAAGAAGTCATCTCAGAGCACTGAACAAAAATATTCATATACTTAAAAAGTAATACTATTCATCTGAGGAGCAGACTGCTTCACAGACTCATCTTGAGCGAGCACGAAGGCAACAGTGGAAAGGAAAAACCCTCATGAGGAAGAAACATCCAGCAGAACCAGGCTAAGGACAAGCGGCCATCTGCTTCGACCGACTGGGTTCGAAAGGAACAGGAAGGAGGAACAGATACACAATGGCAGGTCCAGAATCACATTGGTATAAATAGTATAAAATTAAAACTATTCAATTGTAACAATTAATTTTAAGAAATGAGGACACGTTGTCCTCCAGTAGTCTAAGCCTATAGCAGCATAACAACCGAACCCTAACTATAGGATTTATCAAAAAGGAAAGTCTTAAGCCCAGTCTTAAAACTGGACAATGTGTCAGCCTCACGGACAGAAACTATAAGTTGGTTCCACAAGAGAGGAGCCTGATAACTGAAAGACATTTCTCCCATTCTGCTTTTGGAAACTCTAGGAACCACAAGTAAGCCTGCAGTTTGAGAGCGAAATGCTCTGTTAGGGAAATATGGAACAATAAGTTCTGCAATATAAGATGGAGCTAAGTTGTTGAGAGCTTTGTAGGTTAGAAGTAAGATTTTGAATTCTATTCTGAACTTCACAAGGAGCCAAAGGAGAGAAACTAAAATATTGCCAGAAGTAACATCTCCCAGTTAAACTCCTGTAATGACTCGGTTTAGTGTCAAGATTTAAATCCAACAGCCGGATGGTCGTTCAGACATCACTACATCCTTGAGCTAAAAACCTAGCTTCCCTTTAAACGCTACAACTGTCATGTTACTACCTCACTTGGTGGTTCAACTGCGACTGACTTCATCTCTCTCTGCCACCTTAGTCCATTTATAAATAACAAGACGACAAGGAGTTCAAATCCAGGCTTGAAGTGCTTTATGAAAATACCTGCAATCCCAGTCTTGGAGTTCTGTAATGCTTGACACACAGGACACGATCATCCCTTAGTGTGGTATGTTTGGGCAACGACAACCTTCAAGATGTGTGGGTCCCCTCAGATGACCAACGGTTCCAACATCGGGTCTCTGCGACACCTGCACACTCCACATCAGTCAGTTGCACGATACAACCCAGCTTCATGCAAATTCCCAACGAAACTCTGCCAAAAACTATGGGACGTCCTCTGACTGGTGGAGACACTGTCGCTCTACTTTTGATGCCAATACTTACGTTTGTTCTAAACTTCTTGCAAATTCAATTTACAACCCCATCACTTGTCTGCTTGTGGTCCAAATAATGTCCAAATCAAACCATTTCCTCTGGTTGTCTAATTTGCTCTCGTCAGTGGGTGAATTAGCAAGAATTTTTATTTGAAGAATAAAAAAAAAGTTTTAGACCAGCTGAAAAGTATCAGGCAAAAACAAGTGAGATGTTGCTTTATACAGTTATCTGCAAGCTTCCAGCATTATGCAGGAATAGAGCTGCGATATTAAAAATTAATTGTGGAATGAACGCAACAAAACACAAGAGGTGTTCTGCAGTAAAAATGGCATCAGCTGCTTGATAAAGTGGAGCGCACTGGCCTTGGAGAGACATCATTTTCAGAGTGTCTTTGTTGCAGCTGTGCATAATTCATTTATTTTCTGCAAGGACATGCTGTCGACTCATCTCATGTCAGTGACAGCTGACACAGTAAACACCAGCTTCGTGGATGAAAAGAGTAAAACCCGGACTTCTCATTTAAAACTGAATGGTAACAGTTTTATTAAGTTAAGAAATCAACACATTTAGAAAACATATCTATGTACACATGTTTTACTGCATGGATTAAAAAAGACAAATACAAATCACCATAAATTGCATTCCCCTCATACCAATAAATAATGATTAAAAAAATAATTACAATCGTCCTGGTGACAGAGCGGCGCATCGTCACGGAGCTGTGCTGAAAAACTTTTAAAGCTATGCTCTAAATCACAGAAAGCATACCCACCATGAGTTCCACGGGAAAATAAAAAAGGCAATGATAAAAAAAAAGAAAGTCATCTCTTGTGAACTGGTGAGCTTTAAATTAGAGGTTTCTGTTAAAACAGGCAGAGCAGATTGGGTCTTAAAGCAGTTAAATAATGCTACTTTCAGCTACTTTGTTCAAAACGTAGACGAGATAAAACCGGTGCACGAGGCTTCAGTCCGAGCTGCAAAAACCTCCCAGTGAACAACTACGCAGATAATCACAGGGTTTAGTGTGTGGATCGTTTTAAAAACGCATTGCACAGCAGTGTTAACAGTAAATACATAGATCCAGTGTTCTTACACTCAGCTTTGATTCCAGGGATGAGTTTCCTTAGTGTTCGTCTTTGTCCCGGCTCTTTTTGTCCTTCTCGTCCTGCAGGGCGGTCCCCAGCTTCTTGATGAGGACTGACAGCACCTTGTCCAGCGGGTCCATCACTCCCCGCTGCAGCCACTTGGGAATCGTAGTCCTGGCGTGGTGGAAGCCCAGTTTCTGCAGGATGTAATCCACACCGACGGGATCTATTTTCCGCCCCGTCCAGGAGATGAGCCTGAAAGTTGATGAAGGGTCAGAATCTAAACGATGTTATTCAACCAACCGGTGATTTAAGTGTCAGTGTGCTCAAAACCAGGATCTAAGTTTACCTCAGACACAACACTCATATTAAAAATTAAGTTTACGCTTTATTAACACATTTCTGCCAGTTTGATCGATTGCTCTAATTCTGGATAATATTCAAGTGGTGCCCCCTAGTGTCAAATATAAAGAAATGCGTTTATTTTTGCATGAGCATCCGTGTATGCGAGCCGGTACTTGGGGGCCAGCAAAAAAAAATAAATATATATATATATATATTTTTTTTTACAAGCACGTAGATGTTTTACAACCCATTAAAATACACCAAAATGTAGAAAATTGCATCTACTTTATTCAAAATGTTCTGGGGGAGCTAAAGACGTCCCCACATATTTAAATAGTTTGCAAGACAGCAGTTTGAACAAACAGGTCAGGCACTAAGACCACGTGGTCTCGCTGCTCCAGCTGTGTTGCGAGAGCGGCCACCCCTGCCCTTCTGCAGCTCTGCAGCTACGTGCTGAGAGGAAGAGTCTGTCACACATTTATTTCAAACAGAACAGACTTATTGCAAAGTTGACATAGTGATTTATAAATTCCGAAGCTGAGAAATAAAAGTTTGAACCTGTATTTTGAGCTTCTTGTTAATACAAAAGACAAAAGAGTTTCACTCTAATGTCCTCTTCCTTGTCCTTGTGAAAATGAGTTTGAGGTTCTACAGTCTGAAAAGACTCATGAGAAATCCTCAGGAGAGGCCAGTTAGTTGAATTTTGCAGTTTTTTTTATTCTTAAAAATATTCAAATCTTATTGTTCTTGTGACACAAGTGTCTCGTTAGTCAGAGATGGAAATAAAAATAAGTTGAATTATTCTGCTGTTGTTTCAAAAGAATATGCTAAGAATTTAATTGAATTTTAAAGGAAATCACATCAGTTTCTTAAAAACATAATTAATTTTCCTCTGTTTTATGCTACAAAAGGAAATAGATCAACCACTGGACTAATGCGCGACAATGTTCTAGCTGTTTTATTTCAGTGTTTTAAGTCAAGACTGTTAACTCTGTTCATTCTGAAAGTTTGAGTTGGTGTTTTCAAACAAAAATCAAATTAAACTGTTACGCCTTGCTGACCTGAGTGTGGGCTCCAGGTGCCAGGTGTTGCACATGAACTCCCTCCAGTCCACGGTGGTGTAGTTGATGCCGTCATCCTTGTCCTTGTCTGTGGCGTCGTCGTCGTCGTCGTTGTGCAGAGCCGTCGGGCTTTTCTGACCCGGGCGAGCCGCAAACATCCGCGGAGCAAAAAGGGCTGAGAGGGATGAAGAAAAGCAATCAGGTGGAAACGCTCCACTGCCCACATGCTGCTGTTATTTTACAAACATGGCAGACACATGTTTTAACAACCGACGGGGCTCAGCGCGCATTCATTAGAATAACAAAAAGCTCAGTCGGCACCTTTAAGATATAGATCTGCTCGCATTCAGAAACCCGTACGGCCCACATCAATTAATCAGGATTAATCAAAACAGAGAAGAAAAGCTGAAAAGCTTCAGGACTCGCCCCTTTTCCTTCTTCTCATAATAAACAGAAGAAAATCTTGGGCTCACATTTAATTGTTGTGAAGAATGCGAGCTTTGCCGGCATGACGAGAGCTCGTTTGTTCTTTTGTGACAATGTGAAAGCCATTAAAATGCTGCCGGCTCTGGGCTCCCTGACCTCCCTGCTGTGTGTGGAAATAACACTCCGCTCCCCGTCTCCAAAAAGTGCCCGACAGCATACAAACAGCTTCACAGGTGCAGAGGCAGACAGATGTGCTCATTTTCACATTTCCTATTAGACTGTGAGGATGAGTCACTTTCTTCTGTTGGGCTCCCTGTTGGCAATGGTTGATGGCTTCTCTTTGTGTACAGATGAATGAATTTGTAGGCAGCTGCAATCAATAAGGTTCTGTCAATGAATCAAAGTTGAACGAACCTTTCTCCTTCTCCTTCAGGTAGGCCGACACCAGATCATGAAGGAACATTATCAGCTCGGCGTCCATGGTGACGCAGATGTGGTCGGTGAACTCTGTCACCATGCTGCACTCCACTTTGGGTTTGCTGCTGGAGTCTGGAACAAAAACAAATCAAGGTCTGAATGTTTGAAGAAGTGCACATTGCCCTCTGCCTTTATTAGCATTTGTAAATTGGCAAATAAAAAGAGGTGGCAAACAAAACTGTTCTTTGAGGACACAACTAATGACCATCAGCTCTTGTATTTCTTGTTTTTTTTACAGCAATTTGTATTAAAAAGTAAAAACCAGAAAGAAAGAAAGAAACAAAATATCTGAGAACAGAATTCATCTAATATGATTCGACCTAAACATGCAGAGTTCAAAGATAAGAGTTGTTCCCAACCCTGCTCCCTGAGGAACACCATCCTGAATGTTTCAGTTGTTTTCTGCTCCAACACACCTGATTCAGTGAATTAACTACTTCCTCAAGTTCTGCAGAAGCCTGTTAAGCACCCACTCATTCAAATCAGGTGCATCAAAGCAGGGAAACAAGTGAAACATGCAGGACGGCGTTCCTCAAGGACCAGGGTTGGGAACCACTGGCTTAGTCTAGCTTTGCAGCAGAAACCCACCTGTTAGTGATGGCTCATCTGGTTCTTGTACATGAATGGACTTGAAGTCCAGCTGCATTCTGGGAAGAGCGAAGATGGTTTCTGTTTCGTGGTTGTAGGTGTGGGAGCTGCGGAAGCTGCTCAGCAGACTGGAGCTTTTGGCAGCCGCTCCGTTCTCCTGGTTGTTGGCTTCCACATTCCTGAGCAGGTTAAGCTCTGAAACAGGAGATAAAATGAGTCCGAACTCACGCGCAGACATTTCTGCTCTGCTGCTGTGCTAAATGCTTCCTGCACTAGCTGCATTCACTGTTATTTTAGATTATTTTAGATTTTCTGTGTTTTGTTGCAGTCTAACTAAATCTGTAGACTTTGTGCCATTTTATCCCTTCATGTATCGAAACGTTCAGCTCATCTAGGAGATGAATGTGACTTTTGGTTTTTGTAGCTCTCATATGTTTTCTAATTTAGCAAACTATTTTTTTTAGCTTTTAGCTAGCCTTTTGCTACTTGTAGCTTAGCTACCACTCCGCTTCTGAACTTATCAACTCATTTTGAGCTTCCTCACCAAATTTCATTCCACACTCGGTTTTCGAACTACACGTTCACAGAAAATGCAAGTTCTCTAAACTGCATTCAAGATAAATCATATTCTGTTTAGTTTTAGTTTTTTATATTCTGAGTAAAATGAATAAATACAAATAAATAAAAACAGACATTCCATTTCTCTATTTTTAGGGACAACCATTTCAAACAAATTAAATTAAATTAATAGGCTCTGGAATAAAGCAGTTTTACAGATATGGAGCTGAAGTTTGATGTGGTAGTAGCTCACAGTCATCTTCAACGCATCTTTCACAAGATCATCCAACATCACACGAGATATTACATCACGGCTTTAACTGACCATCAATCTTATACAACCAGTTTAATTACGCCTAGCGAAGCCACTCTAGCTGGTGAATCATATTTAGTTTTAATTTCATCTTTTTTTTTGTAGACATAAACAACCTCTCCAGTTACCTTCGTTTCTCATGGCAGTGACGTAGCTGAACCATTCTTTTACAGTAGCAACTCCATGCGGTGGGTTTTCGTGCCGCCGGCGAGTGATTTTGGTTATGGTGGCCATTGGACTTTCGAGGGCACCGCACGGTTTAGTCACCATCGTGTTGTGACCGAGATGGAAGTCCAGCGTCTGTACAATGTAGGTAGAGTCATCTTTAGAGCCTGGGGGTGGGGAGAAAGTGAAACGGTGTCAAAACTTCTCATTTCTTCCCTTTTAAGTCCACGTGACAAACATTTAGTCCCCACCGTCCTCCCAGATCTTCTGTGCCTCCGTCCAGAAGGCAATGTTGGGCTCCTCCAGGTGGAAGAGCGCCCATGACTTGGAGCGGAAGTTGGGCCCGTGGAAGCAGGCCAGCGTCATGTGGTTGCCATGGAGGCTCATGGACCCACCCAGCTGCACGGCATCCTCAGGCAGAGGCATCTGGAAGAGGGAGATGTGGCAGCCGGCGATTACCTTTAGCACTCCGGGCCAGTGCCGGTGATGGGCGGCATCCATATCTGTGTGGAAGGACGAGAGACAATTTAATTCAGACCAGAGCAAGACGCTACCGTTAGCAGGGTTTGATGTTTTCATGCCACCTTTAATCTTTAAATTTATTCTGCTTGTGCTGTTCCTGATCACCTAGTGTGCATGTCTGATTACATTCAGCTGCTGCAACAACAGCGATGACAGTTTGGAAAAGCGGTACACAAATGAAGCTTATCAGAATTACAAATCACTTCACTTCCTGTACAACATGCTGTGCGGATCTTATTATGTAAAGCTCCGCGTTAAAGACGTCACCCTGCAGTCCAGGCAGACGGCGTGCTTACAAAGCTCTGCAGCTCCTTTCTCAGCACTGATGACAGGAGTTTTGGGGGGCAGGTAGGGGCCAGGGCCCCACGTGGAGAGGGCCCGCTTGCTGGTGTCGAACTGCTGAGTGAAAAACTCCTGCAGCTTCATGCCGATCTTGATGAGGTCTGGTGTGGTGGAGCGTGAAATGATCACCTGGAAAATGTCCCAGTGCAGGTCCCCGTGGACAAAGATCTCACTGAGAGGAGAAGGTGAAGCACAAAGAACTGAAAAAGGTTGTAGGAAATTTAAAAACATGATAAAAACACTGGACCCGATATTCTAGAAAATGAAGCAAATATCAAAGCATCCTCTCCATCCAGACAGAAACGTCTCTGTATATGCTTAAAATGAAGCTTTAAATAAATCTCTGATAAAGCTGTTTTGCATTTCGGACATTTAAATGTGTTTATCTGGTGGTAGCTTTGCTGGTTTCAAGAGAGAAACAATTTAAAGTACAGCAAATTGAAATAAATGCCTCTTTCTTAAAATTTGAGCACCTTTTTTCTGACAGGCTGGTGTCTGTGGTGCACAGGTTGACCTTCCACTCATCCTGCAGCTGCAGGTCAGCGTTGCTGAAAACTCCCATCAGTATGCTGGAGCCCATGTAGTCCACCCGGGCTTCCGTAGAACCCATGGTGATCTGGATCTTGTGGCTGGGCTGCTGATTCGGGTGCTCAGAGATGTGGGCTGAAAAACAAAATTATGTTTGCACTTGTTCTGCTGTTTTGGTTCAGTTTGATTTATTTAGTTGTTGACAATAAAAGTACTGGAACTTAAATTTGGAAAAAAAACAACATTATTACAAAAGAGCAAACTATTTATTCTGTATATTTTTCTATAAAATTTAAATTCACAATTGGATAGAAATTATTATTATTTTTGTCTTTAAACTTTAATTTTCGACTTTTCGTCATCCCTATTTTTTTTCCATTATTGTTTTGAGTGCCGACTGTTTATTTATGGAGTGCTGTAACCAAACAGTTTCCACGTAGGGATATAATAAAGTACATTTAAATTAAATTAAACTGAATTTTTAAACTGCTTATGAATTCATAATAAGCATACTAATTCAGCCTTTTTGTGTTATTTTTATTTAATGTTTCTGTCTGACAGCTGTCTTGTTAATACAAATGTTTTAAATGCTTTTTATTTTCAAGTTCTTTATGAACTTAAAGGGTTTCTCTTCAGAAAGCAGAAAGCAGAGAGGCTTACACAAAGAAAATATGTGCATATTTCAAATCAATAAAATGTTTGATTCAAAAGTGCTAAAATATATTAATTAAATAAAAAAAATGCATGTAAAAATTGCCTTTTTTCCATTAGCCATGAAAAAGTCAAATGTAACTGCAAAGCTCTCAGTGCTCCATTTTAAACTTGGACAGAAAACAGTAGCTAAAGTGCTGTAGGAAAAAAAAACAACTGTGAGGAAAGTTGATCCTCGGTTTACTTACAGACCATCTCCAGGGTGTTCACATCTATGTTGCCACCCACCACTCCACCTTTGGAGTCCAGCTTGGAGCGTCCGAGGCCCACAGACATGCTGATCTCACGGTCTCGGTTGCTGCCGACAGACAGCCGGCCCTGACTCTTCAGGCCGCTGGTTGTCCAGCTGAAGGACAAAAAAAATACAAATAACAAGAGTACAGCTGCTGAATAATGCAGGACGAGATTAAACATTGACTCATCCCAAGAAGCTGCTCCGAAATAAACACAAATAAATGGAGTCAACGTGGAACAACAGGTCTGGTTTCCAGCTCTCACCATCATGTTCAGCTTCAAAATACCATCTTAACATATTTACCTGTTTCTGCCTGTAGTTTAAAACAACTACTTTACACTCAAGCTACACCTTTAAATAAAGTCCACATGCAGAAGAACATCCTGAAGGTATAAATAATTTAACAAGAGCACAAAGAGGATGTGAGGAAAGAAAAGGAGATGCGACTTTTGGCTTCAAGTGACAGTTCTTATTTAGTCCTGAAGATGATGTGCTGGTCACTGATTCAGCGTTAAACTAAAGCTGAGCATCATCAAGGGCTCAAACATTTGTTATACCAGCATTAGAGATGATTATTTGGATTTTTCTTGCTCAATGTGCTCATCACATTTGTGTTTTGCAGCAGACGTTTAATGAAGTGATCTTTTCTGAGAGTTGAGGAAGACCTTTCAGATTGATTTATTGTCGTTTTAAAATCAAGGTTGAAGCCAATCCAAAGCTCAGAAATGTATCCAAATCGTACAGAAAGCCCACAGGAAGTGAAATTGTTGTTCTAGTTTAAGTATTTAAAAATAATTGCATCATGTTATGTGCTTTGAGAGAGGACGGTGAAGCTATTTGGGATTTGTTGAAAAGGGTTTGGAGCATATATGTTTAAATTAAGGCTGGAGGGTCAGATATATCCTTTGAGCCATGTCAATTCAACCTGAAAATCCCTCATCAGGGCTAAATTTGAAAACTGATCAATGTCAGAACACAGATAGCGAGTGGGCTGGCAGGAGGTGGAGGGTCTGGGGGTCCTCCCCCTGAAAATTTTTAATAAAGGAGATGCGATTTCCTGCATTTTGGTGTATTTTAATGGATTGTTAAACATCTACATTTTCCTACATTTGTAAACACTCCACTTCTGTCAAGCTCCTCCTCACCCCTTACTTGACAGAACCGTCAAAATAAGTCGGGCTCGGTCCCGAGCTCAGCACTTCACTCTTTTAGGGTTGGAGATTTCTTTAAGGGTAGATGCAGAAATGCTTCACTTGAAGAGGCAGATCGTAAGCCGTTGTGCTTAAAATTAGTGTTTATGTAATTATTTTCAGACTATATATCCAATCTAGATTTAATTTGTTCAAGGCAGTCATATTTGTTCATAACTTTATTATGAGTAAGCCTGAGAGTTACTGGATCCAAGCAAACAATTACGAGAAGCACCCTGTCAAAATAAGACAGTTCCCGGATTCTGTTCCAGCAGGATCCAGCTCAAATTAAGCCCTGTCCCTCATACAAAAACAAAACTACTTCATATAAATAAATGAAAACCCCAATTTTAGTAATGTCTCTAGAAGAAAGTGAAACCTGAAATTTAAAGTTTTTTTTTTTTTTTTTACTAATTTACAAATAACATTATTATTATTTATTATTATTATTTATTATTATTATTTATTTATTTTTACTGAAATTGATCAAAACATTATTTGGCAGGTTTTTTTTTTAGGTTGAAGCTGACTAACAGATGAAAGATGACATGATTGGAAAGAAAACGTCCAAGTATTTCCTTTCTTAATGAAGAGCTGAAGTTTAACTAAGATCTCAGGCACTGCGTTTAAAAAGTAAAATATAAATAAAAATAGTTTTAAGCCGTCAAGTTGACAAATAAATCAGTTTGTCTATCTGAAGAGACTTACGTGTTGTTTCCCATGACGTTGCTCATGTTCATCTGGACCGTGAGTTGTTTTAGGTTGATGGCAAACACCACCAGCGTCTCCCACGGAGACCCCTGCTGCCCAGCTGACTTCCCATTCTTAGTGAAGGAAGGAGTGGATGTCTTTGTCACTGAATCTGGAGCAAAATGTAGATAAAATATAAACGTGGGATTAATTTCTTTACATTTAAACAACGTCAAACAGAGGAAAAGTTTGCAGTTACCTCTCCTGGGAGCAGAGGAATCGGACACGCTCCGGGTGCGACCCGGAGCAGGAGACTTGAGGTGGCCCAGGCTGCTCGGGGACATGTTGCTCCCAGTGGAATGGTCTGAAAACACATTGGGGGACTGAGGAATGTGAGAGCCCATGCTGCCGTCCCAGGTCCTCCAGTAGGCCTTTCTGCTGGACTCGGGGGAGAGGTGCTGGGTGATGTTTTCTGCAGAGTCAGGGGTGGCAGGGCCGGAGGCTGCTGTCAGGAAAAGAGTTGGAACATGAAGTTATAAGAGCTCATGATGACAGTCTAGTCTTATAAAAGAATCATTGTGTGCTAAAGATAATCAACAATGTCTGTCTTTAGTGTGGGTAAAGATTCAGCTACAGAAACATACTGAGGTTTAAACCAGCGGCTCACAAATGTTTTAGCTTCACAAGATTTCAACGGCAGAAATTTTTGACCCAATTATCTCTGGTTAAAATATGCAAATGTTGCAATTAGGCCAATAAACCAGAAGATAACAAAAAAACATATTTAGACCATTTCTACTGACTTTTAGCAACACGTTCTATTTCACTAACAATTATAGCTAAAGTGTAATTAACTAGTATTTAAGACTTTTTTTTTTTTTTTGGAAATCATCTCAAGACCATAAAATCGATGTATGTGTCTTATAAAGTGGTCCCGACCATGTATTTGGGAACCAGTGCTTTAAATGATTCACAAAGATCCATCGCTTTGACTGACACAGACAAAGAGCAGCCACCTGGAAGGTTGATGGTCTGGTCTCCCAGGAAGAGGCGCCTGGCGATGCTGCGGCGGTACCAGGCTCTCGGGAAAGCCAAGATCTCGCTCAGTCGCCTCATGTCGTATTTGAAGGAAGCCGAGCCGATGTCGCACACAGCTATGGACAGAAAATCACGTTTATCTGTCAAACACCCATTTTTATTAAAGGTTTTACCGAGTGATGTTTGCTACAAATGTGAATTCTAATGCTGGGTTCTATTAAAGTTACTATAAAAAACTAAATGACAGTCAACATAAAATTAAACGAACATTACTGACATCACGATGTCACGAGCACCGCAGTATATCCGCAATGATGGGAGCTCCGCTTCAACTCAATCTTTTTTTGTTCCTGTTGTTCTTGTTTTAACCTTTTTATTCCACCTACACTGCACACCCACGCTACAGGTACGACCGCGATACACTTGTGGAGTTTTGTGTGTTGTTGCCTTGCCATCATGTCATCGTGGTTAAGTTCCCGGTCCTCCTCCAGCCTCGGGCTCAGGCTCTGGCCTGTCATGGCGGCTGTCTCCATGATCCTCCATCTGCCTGCATGGACTGAACTCTACAGACCTGTTCAGTTTCGCGCAGTAAACCTTGGATGTTCTCTTTCTGCTGGACCTGGTTCTGGAGAACAGTCTGGGAGGGCAGCTGCTGCAGTCGTTATCATCAAACTGCTAGCAGGGCCTGCTAACGTGGCTAATGCTGCTAACGCTGCTAATGCTGCTAACGCTGCTAAATCTGCTAACGCTGCTAACGCTATCCTACATCTGCCTGCATGGACTGAACTCTATGGACCCGTTCGGTTCCACGGGGAAACCTTGGATGTGCTCTGTCTGCCGGACCCGGTTCTGGACTGCAGTCTGTGAGGGTAGCTGCTGCGGTCCTTATTACCATCAAGCTGCTGACCGGACCTGCTAAGCTGCTAACAAGACCATGCTGCTAACAGAACAGAACCATGATGCCGAAATGGTTGCTCACTGCTAACCGAATAACACTGTAGATGCATTTCTTTTTCAACTTTGGCGCCTTGTTTTTTTTTTTAGTATTTTAGTAGTATTTTTTAATAAGTTTTTTAGTATGTTAGTATTTTTAGTATGTTTTTAGTATTTTTGAGGCATGCTTTTATATTTGTTGTTGTTGTTTTTTTATTTGGCTAGTCGAGACGGTTCTTCTCGTCCTAAGCATTTCATTGCATTGTTGATCTTGTGTTGAAACCTAACCTGAATAGTAACTTAACATAGTAATGCACATATCAAAAATGTGCAACTTATAAATATCTCCTCTTATTTTGAAAAATACATTCTTAAAAGATAAAAGTGAGTTGGTACCTTTAGTTCCAAACTGTATCATGAGGATGCTTTGGGAAATAAATTTATTAGAACTGTAGTGGATTTTTCAGGGCTTAATTGTAAATTAGTTTCACAACTTAATTACTTTGAAAAGATGCCAAAAATATGAAACGACACACACACACACACACACACAAAAAGCTAAAATTATGCCTTATTTTCTTTTTCTAAACTCCTGCTGGGGTTGCCTCGTGTAAAACGTGTGAGTGATGTCTGCATCAGGTCTTACAGAGCAGCGGTGCTTTCCAGGGATGCTGGAGTACCTGAGATGTTGATGAGGGTTGTGTCCATTTTGCCTCCTTTAGCAGAAAAGCTGTCGATGAAGGTTGGACCTCCGGTGCGCCTCATCCTGGATAAGCTGACCTTCACAAACTCCAGGTTGATGCTCAAAGAGTCTTTTCTTCCCGTCACAGAAGACGGCTCCTCATCGACTGCACCTGCAGAGGAGGCATTTAGCAATAACGGCAATCTGATCCGTGACTAGTTAATCAGAAGAATTGTATCAACACAATCAGAGACTAAGTATTTACGAGGCAGATATACTGCAGCTCTGAGACATTAGTGGGGCGGTATTGCATCATGTTTTCAGTACCTAATGGTCCCGGACCTGGAGGCAAGCCTGTAACAGCTGATTTCTGCTTCCCAGCGCCGTAGGGATGGAAGACGTAGAGGGAGAAGTCTGACATGCAGGCGGTGAAGCTCAGGCCTGAGGAAGTACTGGGGGGGGTGGTGAGGTCTGACTGGCTGCTGCTGTGGCGGGTCCTACCCAAAGGGCTTCCTAGCAATGGAGACGCTAGAGGGAGGAAGAGGAGGAGAGCACATAAACACAAAATGCAAAACAAGGAGTTGCACAGATGTATTATCTACACAAGCAAACACAAAACAATATGCTTTAAGTGACAGCACGCTAAGGACAACAGTTTAGAAGGTACTGGTACTATGGTACTGTGGTACTGTGAGCACTACAAGCACTGGGCTGAACTTGAAAAAATAAAGCAACCAAGATATACTGTTAACACTGAGCAAGAGTAAAATAATGAATACACAGGAGCAAGATTTGAGAAGCATTAAATCATAGTGATGTCATGAGGTGTCAGCTCATACACTCCTAAACTTTAAATGACTAACAACAAATTATCTACTCTTCCCATAGTTTTACACACATTAGGAGCACCATTACTCTGCCAAAGCGATGTGCTTTAGGAGATGCCCACCTTTGCTGGGAGGTAGTTTGGGGACATGTTGCCCCGGTGGGGTGGAGGAGGGTGGGTGTGATCCATCAGGAGGGTTGGATCCAGTTGGGGTTTCCAGTTCTCCCCGATTGGAAGAGAACACCAGGTCTAAAGAGGGAAGCTTGAGCATACACTCCACCCTGGACATGGGCAGGCAGCTGAAGCGGATCTGAGAGGGCTGGAAACAAACAACAAATAAAAACACAAACTAACTCTAAATGTGTGGCTTTACTGGCTGATGAAAAGCATCAAGAGCTTTAACTCTCTAAATGTCTCCAGGGCTCCATTTTAAATCCCACACTTTTCCAAACACATGTTTTCAGACATTTCAGTTTATTTTTGATATTAAAACATCTATTAGTTTACTGTCATTTCCACTGAGTGGAATATGGAGAGCCATTTCATTCAAAATTTAAAAAATAAAGAAACGTGATAATAAAAGCTAATAATAACAAAAATAATAGCTGATAATAAAAATATTTTATTTTTGATTTAGTTATTGACTTGCCCAACCTATAAAACTCAAGATGGGCCGCACTGACCCTGAACAGCCCCGCCTCACAGAGAAAACCCCGCCCCCTCATCTGAATATAAGAAAATGAAATGAACAGCTTAAAATGAAAAAAAGTGTAACAAAATGAAACTATTAAATAAATAAATCTTGAAATAAATTAAAATAAATCTTGAAATAAATAAAAAATAAATCTTGAAATAAATAAAATATAAATCTTGAAACAAATAAAATATAAATCTTGGAGAAAAAACTAAACATTACTATTTAAATGTTTTATAATATGGGAACATTTACTTATTGAATTGAATATTTATCAATAATATTTAAATAATACAATTTATTTATTTATTTAATGATTTAATGAAATGGTTTTCCATAGTGTAAAAAGGTACTGATTTATTAACTATACATTTATATATTATGTTTTCATTCATAACTTCCTGCTATAACAATATATCATTTTATCTTTTAATTTTCAAGATACGTTATATTTAAATTGATGTTCTTTATTTTCTTTGTAAAACTTGTTTATTTAGGATCACAATCTTAAAGATTTATATCACCCTCCAACTGAAAGTTTGACTAAATTATATATTTTTTACATTCTTAATTTATTTAATTATACATGGAATTTGTTAAAAATGTATTTTCTTCATGACCTTAGTGTTTTACAATACCCTAAGTTGACTATCCTTTTGACTTATGAACAGAAGATGTTCAAATTTAATATAGAACATGAAAAAATACCCAGTTTGTCCGAACAACTTTAAAATCATTTTGACGTTTATTTTGTAGAAAATGTAAAATGTATGTTTCAACACTTTTTAAAGACAGGTAGGAGCCCCTGTATCTAGAGTAGATTTAAATGATAAAGACCTGCAAAAACTTGAAAATATTTTGCTCTGCAGAAAAAGACCAAGGGAGCCACAAAGAGACATCAAGTTAAAGAAAGTGTAAAATATGAAGACACTTAAATCTGAACAGCTAACCGTTTCTTTGGAGATGTTGTGACACCTTTAGGTTTGAAAGAACAAATAGCAAGTACCTAAATAAGGGCGACACCTGTGATTTGGAATTAACAGCTAATACTTGACTAAGAATCCGGAGGAAAGGATAGTTGCTGATTTTCAAATTGTCAGTACCTGAACTCTGACGTAGACGACCACGTCCACAGGGAACGATGAGTAAGCCGATGTGGAGGAGGAAACAAAGGAGGTGGCTGATTCCTCCAGTGGTTCTACTGGATCGAACTGTCCCATATCCTCCTCCTGCGTGGCTACAGCTGATAATATTCACACAAACACACCTTTCACAATTGGATCATCATGTTCATGGCAGCTAAGAGCAAACTACACAAAAAAGAAAGACTAACCCATGTAGTTCCTCTCCACAGGGGTGATAGGAATAGTCTCCAGAGCTTTTTCCAGGAAGTCCAACAAACAGGGACTGATGACCATTTCCTCTGGCAGAGTCTGGAGGGCCACCCAGGCGTACAGTTTGGCCGTCTTTACCCCTCCACTACCTTTACCTTTGGCTGCAAAAACACATTACAGGTAAAGATCATGTAAACAGGAGCCATCTTTTTATAAAACACTTATTTTCCTCTGTTTCGTGGCTTATCATGCAGGGAGATGTTTGATCGAATGCATCTTTAGTCATGCCTTTAATTTAGGGATGAAATTTCACACATTTGATTCTGAGGATCCTTAAGTGGATGATCAAATCGAGGGGGGGTGGCACCCTAGTGTCTAATCACAGCTGGTGCTAAAACATGCAACTCTAAATGAGAAAATGCTCAGTACCTGATGGAATAGGTGGGAGTGGGGGAGGTAGAAGAGAGTTAGTCTTGCTTTGGACAGCATTGGGAGGATTTGTAGGGCTGCTATCTTTCATACCATACAACTTGGACTCTTTGGAGAGGGTGCGGGGGAGGGAAGATCCACGAGAGGCATTGGGCGAGTCCGTCTTCAAGGTTTTAGAGTTGTAGTGCAACTTCAGGAAAAACACAGAAGTTTTCATTTAAAGCACAAAGAAAATGGAAATGTGTACTTCCTGGATGTTGAGACAGAAGCTGACCTTCACGTCAACTCCTGGAATGTAGAAGACTGTGGTCTCCAGGTCATTGGATTTGGTTTGCAAAGTGGAGGGACACTTCTTTCCAGCAAGAAGATGAGTGGTGGAGGTGTAGGTGGGCTGGAGCTTCTTCTTTTTGGGGGGAGAATCCTGGTCCAGACTCCTGAGGCTGCGATCATAGCTCCTAAAAAACCACAGGTGTAGAAATGCAGACTTGTGATCAGTTATTTGAATCAATCATTATTGATAATAATCGATTCATGTTAGACAGACTAATTTATCAAGAAATATGTTATAAAATAATTTAAAGAAAAAACAACAGAAAAAGTGACTTTAGCTACTTGCTTGTGAATGCCGTGTGCTTAAGGGCGTTGCTGGAATTTTTTTTGAGGAAGCCAAAACTGAGTCGACCCAGTAAAACCAAACAGAACCAAATGGAGGCGAAAATGAGCAAAACACAAGCTAAAAGCTAAAGCAAACAAAATGGTGGCTAAAAGCTAAAAGTAGCACAACATAGTTAAAAGTAAAAATAAAACTTGATAGATAAAAGCTAAAAGTAACAAAAAAAAAAACTGTAGCTGAAAGCTAAAATCAGTAAAACATTAGCTAAAATTTATAAAACTGAAGCTAAAAAAGCATAATGGTAGCCCAGTAGCAGCTAAAAGTTCAAAGTAGCAAAACAGTTTCCAAGGCTAAAAATAACAGATTGTTAGCTAAAAGTAAAAAAACCTGTAGCATCCTGAAACAGGTTTAAAAGTGAATTATCTTTTTGGAGATCTTGAAGAAATCTCAGTGTATTTCTGTGGGGGATTTTATTTTAAATAAAGTTTAATATTTTTGGAAAAATTTAAACATTATAAAACTAAGACTTCATTGCCCACTATTCCTGATTGAGCTGAATGTTTTGATATTTGGTAAAACAGCACAAAATATGCAGAAGTAGTATGACTTTAAAAAGTAGAATATTTATAAAAAAATGTTAATGTATCTGTTATTTAGCTGCTTTTTTTTAATTCTCAGTTTTTTTAATATCTTGTGTGATTCCTTGTGTATGTTCTTTTGTATTGAAACTCTGGCACAACAATTTCCTGCAGGATCAATAAAGTTTATCTTATAAGAAACTAGGACCAGGGAACAGCATCATTCACAACCCCCCCCCCCCCCCTTCAAAAATACAGTTTTCAGAGTCAGAAATGAGCATTTGAGTGCACCTCTTGCAGGAAATGTCCTCCTGCTCAGGCTGCTGAGTAGTCGGATGAAGGACGCACTTCCCACTATCAATCTCCACGCGAACATCGAGCTCAAAGTCTATGTTTTTTTCAGACGTTGGGCCACTGAAGCTGCGGTTGGCTGGTGAGCTCGGCCAGCGCTCAGAGAACAGCTGACTCACGGTGGCGAAACCCAAGGTCTTCCTGTGAGGCGCTTGGCTGAGAAGCAAAATGATGAAGAAGAAAAAGGCTAAATAGGAAATGACGCACTAAAAAATAAATAAATAAATACATTTCTCCAGGTTTAATAAATTATGTTTGATAAAAAAAAGATTTCATTTTTTCTCTGGTGAAACCTTTAAATTTGTGTAGTACGTCTTTTAAATAGTTTGGACGTCTGTTAATACAAAGTCAAAAACTGCGCTCATTAAATATACATTAAATGTAACGTTTATCCCAAGAATACGTACGTGAGCTGAGTAAAAACAAAGAACAGAACTTACAGAGGCCTGGGATAGCTAGATGGCTTCACAAAGTCGTCCTCTTTGTCCGAGTCTTCGGAGGAGGATGAGGACAGGTCATCGCGCTGCAAGGGAAGTGCGGGTGAGAAGACAGCAGGAGTGGTGGGGGTACTGAACACTGACTGCTGGCTCTCGGCAGCGGATGGGGAATGAAGGTGAAGGTGATGATGAGAATGGGATGGTTCATCACTGGTGACTGACAACAGGTCCACTTCTGGCTCCTCAGGAAACTTCAGAGAGGAACAGGGAGTTAAACTCACAACAAAGGGAACTGGTTTCAGGTTTGTCTAAATATTGTCCAACATGAAGACAAACTGAACCCTTTTGGAGATTTAGACAATATAGGAAGCAGGAAATCCAGACTAAAGAATCCAACTTTCAAGGTCGACAATGAGAAGTCAGGCTACTTAAAAAAAACTAAATAAAACTGCTGAGTTTTGAAGAATCCAACGACAAAGCCCACACAGCCTGCAGCTGTTCACCAAGAAGCTGAGAGATATTTCTGTTTAGAGGAATGTCACGCTGAGAAAAGAAGAAGGACCAGACAACCTCACCGGAGGAAAAGGCTGCAACATACCATCAAATGTAACCAAAGAAAAACACACGAGAATCTACAAACAAATCTGAAAAAGTGTCAAAATATTATTTAATAAGGTTAATTTTTTAATCTTATATTGATATTTGAGGAAAGACATAAAAAAAAGTCTAATGAGATTTAAGACTGCTAAAGAAATCACATAAAGCTTTTGTAATTTTGCCAGTTTAATCAAATACTTCTGCATGGATAGACAATTTGAATAAATCACTTTTATATCAAAACTAGTACATTTATAAGTGTTGAGTGTGAGAGAAAGACCTTCTGGTGTGACAAGTGTTAACTGATGGGCTGTTATCCTGAAGCAACACATGCAGAGCTGTTAAAAGAGTAGTCCAAATGTTCAGGTTAAAGAAAAGCTGCTGGATTTAATGTGCAGATTCAAGACAGGATGAGAGGGGGGCAACGCCAAAATACATTTAATGCTGACTCTTTATTACACTATCAAATCAAACGTGATCCTAAACAGGTCATCTAAAGAAGCTTTGGAGGGTTTCTGAATGATCCATGGCACGTACTGTGCAAATAAATGTGACTTTTCTCTCATCGTCCTGTTTTGATTCTCCATTATCAAAATCCAATCAGCACCTAAAGGCAATTCCATTAGAAAAAAGAAGATTAAGAGGAAATTTGCAAGAGTTGATCAGAATTTTTTGTTAATTTTTTTAACCATATACCTTAAATACACATCCTGGACTGGCAGGTGAGGTGTCCAAAGCCTGATAATTATGTATCAGTTAAAAAAAAGAGTTATTAAAAAACCCAAATACAACCTTTTAGAAAACTGTTAAAAGTAACAAACATGTGCAGAAATGGGGGATGAGATGGTGGTGAGGCACATAAAATGACATAAAATCCTAAACAGCCACCCAGTTTCTCTCCAGTCACATAAACGAAAACCAACATTTGTATGTTAGAGTGGTTTAGCTGCCCCTGCTCAACAAACACATGAAATATTAACAATGTTTGTGTTTTACCGTGTCCTGAATGTTGAAGGTGACTCGAGGTCCAGGAGAGGAGCCATCCACACGGACTTCTGGGAAATCATCCACATCTCCAATCCTGGAACTGAAGTCACAGAAAAATTACAAAAAACAGCACGAGTTCTGTTAAAATATCTAAGTCACAGCTGTAATACGCTTACATAAACATGTTCTCAGTTCCATACTGTTTAAAATTATTCTGATGAAAAGCTTTTACAGTGTGTGAACAGTCTATGTATTTTTTTAATAAAGAAATCTGCATAATTAATATGGAAAAATGCACCAAAGCATCATAAAGTAAGTAGTTTCATCATAAAAAATGGAAAAGTGTCCAGTTTACTTTTATAAGTGGAGTTCTGTGGAAATACTATGAACAATTAACATCTTACCTGTAATGAATGGCTCTATATTCAGTTTAGAAAAACAGATCTTATTGCTATTTACATGGAATTATGTTGTTAGTTGTGTAAAAGGAGGAGCACTTCCAGCAGGAATATCATTCTTCTACAGAAAAAAACCTGTAATATGAAATTGAAGAGGGTGTAAAAGTTTATAAAATATTGTTTGCATGAACTGCTATGACATTTTGGAGACTGAATTTGTTTTAAGATGACAAAACGTTTGTTCTGAAAGTATCCCCGCTCAGACTAATTATTAGCTTGAAGCAGGAGCATTTCCAAAACAGATATCTGCCGCCCTATAAACTACAGTAGTTAACTATTTAAAATTGTGTAGCTTATGCAAGGGCTATTTTACAAATTTTACAAGATCTTCAATTTCAAATTAAAGTTTTTTAGTAAGAAAATTAAAAGAAAACTCCAGGTTGACAAAAGTGCTAAAGCTAGCGGCTATTTGTGCTTGCAAAGGATTTCTAGGTAAATAATGGTGCATGAAACTGATGGTGATTTAAAGGTTTTTTTAAACAGTTGCAACCCATTTTTTTCTTGGCTTAATTCAGATTCGCTAACAATTCATCAATGCAACTCAAAAACAACGTACGCGATGATTTGTTAATTTCCTTTCTACAAAAACCCCATTTTCAAATATTCAAACTATTCCTTTAACGGAGTAACATCTGAAATCATGCAACAGCGTGTAAAGGATTGCCATCTTCCCCTGCTGCAGACCTTTGTCGCTCTATCCTTTTCAGAGTCGGTCGGCCTGCTGCTGCTGAGATGCTTTTAGAGCGGTTGTAGCTTGGCTTGTAGCCAAGACCCCATTTATCCTTTAAAGAGGCCGCCTGCATGACATCAAAAAAAAAAAAAAAAAGAAGACAATAACAGAATAAATGAAAACATCTAGGCGTGATTTAATGTGTTTTATGTTACAAACACTAAAATGCTTGTGATGTGGTTCTACTCAAGGAAAAGTAAACAAGTGACCCTCATGCTGGAGCGACGCAGCTTCTTCCTGACGTCCCTCCTGATGTCATTGACAGCCACCGACTCCAGATGCTGGTACCGCTGGATCTCCTGGTTGATGGTACCTTCACTGGCTCCCAATTTTCTTGAAGGAAGAAGATGTTGATAGTTATTTAAAATAATTTCAAGAGAGCAAATTCAATCAGACAGATGCAGTAAGGAGGGAAGGATCTTACTTGAGGTCGTCGATAACTTTGGCCTGTTCATTCAGCTCTCGAATGTCCACCACCCTCTTTGTGAACTTCCTCCCACGAGCGTCAATCACCTGGCTCCCCATCACCATCTGTCTCCTTGGGTCAATGGCCTCCTGGTAAATCAGTAACATACATCAAAGCATACATTACACAGAATAAAAATAATGACAAACAGATTACTTATAATCAAATTATTAATTAAACAAATCATTCCCACATGAAGTATTCAGACTTCTATAAATCTGTCAGACTGCATTGATTCTTGTGATTCATGAAGTTGTTGATCAATCCACCCACCAAGAACACGGTCACAAAACAAGCGACCCCACCACCACCGGCACAACCCCACTCAAAGACAAAAAGTGGAAAAACAAAGCCGTTTCGCCCCAGGGAATTGCATTACACTGTAGCAAATGTTTTCTATTCACCCGACACTGAAACCTAAAAGAGAAAAGCGCTTAGCAACACACTTTGTGTAAAATCAAATTATTTAATCCCAGCAATAAACAGACCTGGATCCAAAAGCCTCATTTGTAACTTGCAGGTGATTGAAAAAGGTGATTCTGTCAGCCCAGAGGACAAACACTACATTAACACTACATACACAGGCCCAGGAGAGGGGTCTTTGGGCTTTGGCTCTGCCCGTTTGGATGCAAGGCGATGCACAGTTTAAGTAGCCCGATGGGTCACATTCACTCTGAGGCCTGGGGCTGAGGCCCAGGATGCGGTTTACTAGTCGCTTCCGTAAGGTGAGCAGAGGGCTGAACTGGCTCTCTGGATTCTGCAAACAACGGCAGGGACACATGGATGCAGAAGTAGAACGGCCCAACTCGGGTCAGACTGCACCTTTAAAAGCTTTATGTGAAGTAAACCATAGTGGGTTTGTTTAAATGTACTTCAGAAATATGAAAGGTTAATATGAAAGGTCCACCTTATTAAAAAGACAGTTATTCACTTTTTGACTAATAAATGAGAAGACAGAACTCAGTCCTGGGTTTGTCTGTTATACATGAAGCTAGAATGAAAGTTTTACTTTGTAAAAAGATTGCTCAAAAGATTAACAAACAAAACTAACAAGACATATGTAAACCTACACTGTATGAAATATATTCGTTCTGTTATATTCTTTGGACCCAGAGTCACTAAAAATGTGAAGTTTGCCCTTCTAAGTCAATCTTTTTAAGCAAAATCTAAACATTTATGTAAACTTGACAGCACCTTGTTTCAAGTTTTTGTGCTAAGCTAAAATAACCAGCCTGATGTTTATTGGTTGTAAAAGTTTTTTGGTCTTCATTTAATTCTAGCTGCTAAAGAAAGCAACTATTCTCTCACCTTGTGATTATCATCTGTATTAAAGCGATCAGCATAAATTGACCTCTTTGGTTTAGAGCTTTTCTTTAATAACCTTCAATTCTAAATAAAGTTAAATTTTATAAACAGGCTTCTTATTTATCTACGGTTGTCCTCCAAACTCTACATTGCATTAAAGACGAGTTTCAACTTATGAACCACTCTAATCAACTCTAGCTCTAACCTCACCACGTTGGAAAAACATTTTTAAATCTGAGCATTCTTTCTGATCCAAACACCTCCAGCAGCTGAATGAACCTGGTAATTCCTGACCATGTGGATGGTTGGTGACATCCTATCCGTTTCGTCCTCGTCTGACAGGTCTCCCATGTTCCCAGAATTCAGGTCAGTGATGTCGTCTACGTCCTCCTCCCCAGTGAGCGACGTCAGCGTGTTTCCCAGGGCATTGAGACGTTTTCCGATGTTTGGATCCATGTGGACGTCAATCCCACACATTTTCCAAAGCACGTTGAGAGTCCAGGTGCCAGCGCTGCTGCTCTCTGTGTCCAGGGACAAGAAGCCAGAAAGGAAACAGAAAGAGTAAATACTTTTTATTATAACAGTCTTTTTTTTATTGTGCAGCACTGAGGAGAGGTCAACATTTTATAGAGGAAGAACTTGCCTGCAGACAGTTGCCCTGTGGTCCTGGAACACACTTCATACGTACCATCAGGGACTATGCCTGTGAACAAAACATGTGCATTTTTCAATAATCACATACAACTGGCTCATTCATTCTAAAATTACAAATAATAATAATTATCCACAACACTTAAACATTGGATATGGTGGTCTAAATCATGCATTTTGTTGGTGCAACTTTGTAACACGTGTAGATGGCTTTTTCTCACAAGCATTCATGACGAGATCCCCCCGGATTTCAGGTTTCCAGTCATCCCAGGTGGTCTCGAAGCCCTCTGCGAAGCGGATGCAGAAGTTCTTGAAGTGTCCTTTACTCACGAGGGACTCGGAGGAGCAGGCGGTGATCAGTGTGCTCTCAATGGTCAGAACCAGAGCTGAGCCGGTGTCAAAATCTATGCTGTGATTGGCCTGGAGGGAGGAAAAAACTAAAGTTACCCTATCATTGTGAGACCAAGAGAGAAAACCTGGAAAATCTTCCAGGTGATTTGAAAAGGCAGAGTACGCTGGTAACGTTTCACTCCACTCTACTGCATGCTGTAGCTACTCTGTCAATCAAATAAAAGAAAAGGGGTTTTTATTATTCCAAATTAAGATGTTTTGGATTGTTGCAAAGAAGAAAAACAAGAAATAACTTTCCTAATTTTTGAATCAATTTAGAGTGAAACGTTACCAACTATTTACAGCTTGTTAGATTCAGTTTAATTTAAAAAAATATGAGAACAATAACACCCATGGTACATTAATTTCAGGTCCCAAAATAGCAATCTGATCTTTGCTGGTGAAGGTTCGCAGTCATCCAGGTCACGATTAATCCAAAAAAAAAAAAAAAAGGTTAAAAAACAAATGGACTTTTATGTTTTGCTTCCCATCTGGGAGCCTTTATTAATACAAATATATTTGTGTTTTCTTTTTATTGATAAAGCCTCTCGTATGGGAAGCGAAAAATCTTCAGCTTCAGAATAGAAGTCCAGTTATTTCTATTTTTTAACCTTTATTTTTTTTTGGAGCAATCTGATCATCATCTCACTCAGAACTGGCAATGGTAAAAATGTTTCCACTTTCAAACATTTTAACAGTTTTTATTGGCTGGATGAAAAATCAGATCACATTTATACAAGCAATTATTGCAGGAATCCAAAAGCATTTTCCAAACGTCAATAAGGTTCTCCAGGAAACAGAGCCTGCCCCATGCAAATCTGATTTTAAAGAGGGAACAAAGATGCACACAGCTTTAACAAACAGACAGCAAATCCTCCGCACACAAACCAGCACAACCTTATTCTAGTAAGACCACACCACAGGCACCAGCGCAAACTTCACAGGCTGTTACACCAACTTTGTAAGAAAAATAAAATGCCAGAAACAAAATAAAAGGCACCTATGATGCATTAAATGTACGACAGATTTTAAAGAAGAGTATCACATTAATTTAACCCCACAACAAACCATCACAAGAGCTGTAAAAAAGAAAGAACAGAAATAAACTGCAGGTTACTTTCAATGTTTTTTTTTGCTGGCCCACTGATGAGCTGGCCTCAGCTTCAGAGCTGCCCTCCTGTGCAGCTGGTACTTGTCCTTTCTATAGAAATAATTGCAACATGACATGGTTGATATTACAACACAGCTGGTATGGGCTTTTATTTATCATTAAATGTTAATATATTCCTCATGTGGTGTCTTAATACAGCATTTCCCATCTTTCAGGAGGAATCAATCATTGCTCAACTGGTGACTGAAATCCATGTTTGACCCATGATAGTCTAATCTTTGTTTTGTTTTTCAGATCAGTGAATGCACCATAGCTGAATGGCTATTTCACATTTTTTTGTGTTAGTTTTCAGTATTTTATTTACTGTTTGTTTATAAATACCGCACATTATAACATTTATAGTCTAGGATAATTAGCAACTGATGTTCCCAGATGTGCTTTTAGTAATTATATCTGAAAGGTGTTGAAAAATAAATCCAGAAGAAGCAGACGTTTTAGTTTCTAAAATATATATATATGCTGTTAACCCTTTTTCAGTCCATTTTATTCCTGTTATACTGGTTTGGATCAAATGTAAGTTTTACTTATAAACACAAATATTAAGTGTCAATACAGTTAGATTTAAAAATATATATTTTTATAGATATTTCCAGTTGTAATTCTTAGAAGACAAAAAATTGTTTTATAAAACTGGTATCTGCTCTGAAAACTGTAACTGATGCATTTCTAATAGAATAAATGCCAACACACACAAACTTGATCAAAATATAGCTTGTGCAATAAAGAAATCTTGAAGATCTGATTGATCTTAAATACGTTGCATTACTTTATCAAGAAAAATGGACCAAAACTATTAACCATTTTTTCTGCAAACTAAAATAAATAATAAAAACTGAAACAATTTAAAATAAAAAAAAGAGCTTAACCACATGTGCCTGGAAAATGTAACATGCTGCTGCTTGTTAATTTAACATAAAATACATATATAATTTGCACCTTAAAAAGGTATTATTTAAAAGTTCTGACTCTTAAAACTAAGCCTTGCAGATTACCTGGGATGTGTTGGTAATTGGGAGGCATATACCCAAGTCATTGACAGTCAGTTGCAGGAAGAGGGTGCTGAACGCCTGGGCAGAGGTTTGCTGAATGCCTGGCAGCTTGTCCACCACCTCCTTTGTTGCCATGTGGATGTCTTTGTTGAGGGCCAAGCGCTGCTCGTTCCAGTTGTCATATGCTGCCTTATAATTCAGCCAGAAGAGCACAGCTGCAGGAGAGCACAGCAGAAAGCAGAAAAAAAAAAAAAGTAATTTAGATACTATATGTCACTCAGACATTTCATATTAGTCTAAGAAATCAATGCATGACAAAACTGCACAAGTAAAACTAACTAGAGTTTTTCATTGTTTAGAATATTAAATGATTTTTGTCTCCAACTAATCCACTTTAAAAAGTGAAAGCAAAACCACCGATATGAAGTGTTAAAACACCAAAACTTCAGCTCATGCTGTTATTTAAGAGCCAATAAACCAATTAATATAAACTGGATATTTTCTTCCAGCACAACAAAAACAGAGCTGATCCAAGATGTGCTTCGAACCTTTTTGAAATATGAAAACAAAAGACTTAAGAGTAAAATAAAGAAAAACTAGAAGTTACATTTTCTGCCAAATGCAGTGCAAATGCTGTGTTGAATGACCTAAATGTGGTGAAGAATTAATTATTGACTCCATTTAAAGTAAAAGCAGTAAAACAATAACTAAAATATGCTAATTTGCTGCTTAAAAATCTACTTACGCAAACCAGTAGCTAAAAGCTGAGCAAAAAAGTAAGCGAAAGATAAAATATGCTAAGCTTTAGCAAAAACTAAATGTAGCAAAACCAAACCTGAAACAAACAATAAGCAAAACTGTAGCTAAAAGATAAGTATAGCAAAAATGTTGCCAAAGGTTTAAATTAGCAAGACAGTAGCTAAAAGCAAAAACGAACAAACCTTAGATAAAAGCCAACATTAGCAAAAACAATAGCTAAATTTAAAATGTAAAACAGTAGCTAAAAGCTGAGCCAAAAAGTAGGCAAAAGATAAATTTGCTAAACTTTAGCTAAAACTAAACATAGCAAAACCAAATTTGAAACATGCAATTAGCAAAACAGTAGCTAAAAGATAAATATAGCAAATATGTTGCCAAATGTTTAAATTAGCAAGACAGAAGCTAAAAGCAAAAACGAACAAACCTTAGATAAAAGCCAACATTAGCAAAACAATAGCTAAATCTAAAATGAGCAAAACAGTAGCTAAAAGATACATTTAGCTAAATATTAGCCTATAGCTCAATATAGCAAAATGGTGGTCAAAAAGCTACATGTAGCAAAGCCACAGCCAAACAAAGAAATGAGCAAAATCATAACTAAAAATCAAAATTTGCAAGACCGTATCGAAAAGCCAAAAGGAGCATAGGGTCAAAAGCTACAGGGACAAAATCAGAGCACATACGCTGAAGTAGATTAAAAAATAACAATGCTCTTAATAGAAAAAAATGGTTTGTAAATAGTTTAACAATGCAAAATATATAAAAAAGTTTAAAAACTAAAAGTTATAACAAAACTATTCTTATTTCTGTTTTGATTTATGAATAGTTAAAATAGCACAAAGTATGCAGTAGTAATTTAGGGGCTAAGAAAAATATGCAGGTGAATGCATTTACAGGAAAGCTGATTCAGCATCTGTCAAAGCCTTAATACTGGCTTGAATCAGCATTCAGACAATTAATTAGCTTTACTGAGATGCATGAACATGATTCAGATATAGAGACAAAGGGAAACGACACCTCTGTCGAAAGCAACAGGCTGCGCAAACACAATCGGCCTGTTCAGTGTAATGAGCACTGCCTCCTTGTCAGAAGAGCCGCTGATTTCCTCCTGCAGCGCATTCCGCAGGCCAATCCGAGTTCGGAAGTACGCCACCTGGTGGAAGTCAGAGCCAGCTTCTTCGTACACCTGTGAGACAAAAGAAAAACATACATAAACGTAGATTCAAACATAGAACGTCCGGGTGCGAGACACAAGAAACCCAACCCGTACCTGATGCTTGACAATCTGTCCGAGCGCCAGGTTCAGGTCGACCTGACATTTGCCAAAGAGTTTGAGGTAACTGCTGCTGCCTCCGGGCTGAGCCTTGCACTGGATCCTGTTGGACAGCTCCAGCTCAATCAGGCCCGTCTCAAAGCGCACGGCCCGCATAGACGGAGTAGTGGCCGTCATCTGGATCCCCTGCAAAAACAAGCATGGGCGTAAATGCATTAAAACAACACAAACATCAAAGCCTGTCAGTATTAACATACCTTGAACATGAGACTGAGAGAATAAAGCAGAATTTTTGGCTTTTCTGCATCAGTTGAGGTGTCATGCTCATTCCACAGAGGGATGGGTTGTTCACCTCCTGACAAACAAACAAAACAAATGCAGTCAGCCTCAGTTCACTTCATAATGAAAGTAAGAAGATGCTGCTGGGTCTCATTGGAGCAACATTTTAAGTCTGATGTGAAACTCAATAGTCAGCTGAAGGCAACACTATTCCTCTTTACCCTAGAACAGCTTCAAACTCCACCACTCCTCTCTCCGTTGGGTAATTACATCGATCAAGCTTAGTGAGTTGAACAAATCACTATCAATACTGTTTTGGGAATAAACATGACTGGATTTGAGTCGGTGCTTTGGGGGTTGTTTTGTATTGAGAAAATAAGTTTGTGTGATTTAAGCAGCAGCTGTTGAGCTACAGGGAACAGTTGTACGTTTAAGATATAATTAACTTTACTGATTTGTGACAAAAACTGGGCCGACAGCGAAGAGATAGTACAACTGAAGAAAAAAAGCTCAACGTAACTGTGGCACAAGTTGAATTATAGTACCTGAAACTTTCTGAATGACTTCATTGACTTCTTTCATGAATACTTTCTGCAGAAACACCAGATGGTTGAGGAGGTCGGTGGTCAAGTTGTGCTCAAATGATCCAATCTGTTCATCAGAAAGGACAACAAACACATTGATTAACGATTCTAGAAGAGAAATGTTTCAAGAATGAAAACAAACTCTTTCTGCAAAGACTCACCTCAGCCAAACATCGCAGGTAGTTTCCTTGCAGGTAGTTTCCCTGCTTTGCTGGGAAGTCGTCTGGTGCCCAGCCCTGGTCTGAGTGGCTCTCGTGATCCTCCATGATGTACTCTCCGGACATGGTGACAGGTGGCAGGGTGAGGCTGGCTGATGGAGACATGGTGGACATGTCCACCTGGGACACTTTGGACTGAAAGCACAGTTTGTGGTTTGGCAGCTCAAAGGTGAAACTGGTTTGTGCTCCTAAAGACAAGAAGAAAAGAAAATTCAGACTTTTTGTTCTTTAATAATATTAGGTAGCTCAGTGTAAAAAAAAAAAAAAGACATACCCGTCATGCCGTGGCTCTTCATGGGGCCCATTTTATACTCTGCTTTCAGTGACGGCAGCAAGGCAGCACCGATACTGATGCCATCCATCATGGCACTGAACTTCAGGACGATGGGCTTTTTCTCCAGACCCTCAGGAAGCTGGGGGAATTCATTGGCCTCAACGGGGGTCTGATTGATGCTGGAAGCCTTGTCAGACGGTTGTGGAGTAGGGGTGTCTTCTCTATTAGGAGGTTGACTGTGGAAAATGTTAAAAAGAAAATTCACTTACAATAAGCACGGATGATTATTTAAACATCCTGAATTCCAACGATTCTAAATAAATTGGAACGTTGTGTAAGATGTATGAAGATACACTTATTATTATTATTTAAATGACATAATTCTTAGTTTCATTGTTCCAAAGTTCCATTGAGAATGAAAAGGTCTATCAGTTGCGCAAATCAACGCATTCTGTTTTTTTTTTGGTTTTACTTATGCAAACGCTCCAACTTTTTGAAATTGAGGTTGTAGTATTTAAAACCTTTGTGTTTGTGTTACAAGAAATGTAAGAAATTAGTTTTACTGTTTAGACTTAATTGTTGTGATATGGTGTAACACTTTGCAGTTGCAGTAGTCCCTCGTTTATCGCGGGGGATCCGTACCCTGAAGCCCCGTGATAAGTGAAAAACCGCGAAG